GGGGGGGTCCCCAAACCACCCGGAGATTGGATGATGCCCTGGAAGCACTCACAGAGCTCACTCAGAGCTGTCACTCTCAGTCACCCTGTGATACAGGGAAGGATGCAGGTTCCCATCAGCCAAAGAGAGAGACACTTGGGGCAGAGTCTGGGAGGGTTTCCAGCGCAAAGCTTCGTTGTCCTTGGGAGGCCCTACTGTCCTGTACTCAGTGTGTGACAATGATGTGGAGCATGGCCCACCAGGGAAGTTCACACTGTGAAAGTAAACAATTATTGTGACACTTACTAATATCGTAAAGAAGACTTAATTCATGCCCTAGGCGTCAAGAGTGATGTCATCGGGGAGAGGGGATCCCAGGGCTCACCTGGGAATGCAGCGGAGACAGCTAGGGATTTATAGCCAAGGAGCAGGCTGGGGGCAGGGCATGGGAAATCACTAAGAGGAGACATCAAGGTGGGGGATTCTTGCTAACCTGACCCAATAGTGTTCTTCCTGAAGGCAGGCAAGGACTTCTGCAACAAAGGTGGGATTTGATCAGATGTCAGAGGTGATTAGATATCAAGAGTGTGTGGATTCTCACTAAGCTGACCTAACAGGGTTCTTGCTAAGACTGGGCATGACAGGCTGCCAAGGACAGAGCACAGAAGACCAAGGTCAAGGCCTCGTCGAGAGGAGTGTCAGAGAGCCCGAATAACGTTTGGTCAAGGAGAGAGTCTTTTTCAACCCCGTCCTCAGAGTACAGAGTTTTATTGGGGCTCAATCACCTGCTCCCTGCATGGCTGACTTGGCATCTTCAGCTCCCCCTGGAGGTTAGTTTCTAGTTCCTCTTCCTGTCAGAACTGACAGCACATGACCCAAAGCCCCCCTCATCTTGTCAGGCTGTCCAGTGAGTGGCCAAAGGCCCAGGCAAAGGAAGACTGTCCTATCATTCTAGGACCCTTGACATCCTAGGTGGAGACCTAGAGATCACTTCCTAGTCAAGGGCAAAGGGCAAACCTCTCTGTGGGTAAGGTTCATCCTTCAGTACACACGAAGATTCTCCAAATGAAGGTTTTTCTGCTCCAACCCCACTTCCCTTTGTTCATCTACCAAGTTCCCAGTCTACACACGCTGTGGTACTGACTGTGTTGACCTGGGAAGCCATCTTTATCAGATACCCACCATTTAAGTGCATCTTAAGATGACATGTACTTATTGATTCCCTTACTGTGTGTTATGGAACATTAGCAATGTACAGAATGTGTTTAACATTGTAAGACAAATTCTTTACATTTGTAAAATTCTTTTGCATTTGATTTATAGTAAACGTTCTGTGGTTTATGTGGGATAGATCGAATGAAGCCCACTTTACAGATCAGCTTTTCTTAATCACTTGGCCTTCACTGTTACAGGGAGGAGGCAGATGCCCTACGTGAAGGTCTGAACGAGCTGGAAAGAGCCATGTATACAGAGGCCGAAGAGCAGCTGGCTAGAGAGAGGTTTTTGAGTGAGTTTCCCAAGTTGAAAGTGGAGCTTGAGGAGCGCATAAGAAAGCTTCACGAGCTTGCAGATAATGTTGACAGGGTTCACAAGAACTGCACCATCTCCAACATAGTAGCCAGCTCCACTGGCGCTGCATCTGGCCTCCTGTCCATCCTTGGTCTGGGTCTGGCACCTTTCACAGCAGGGGCCAGTCTGGCACTCTCGGCTGTTGGTGCGGGGCTGGGAGCAGCATCTGTTGTGACCCAAGTGGCCACCAACATCATGGAAAACTCAAGCGAGTCATCTGCAAAAGCCCAAGCCAGTCGCCTGTCATCAATTGATTTTGACAAAGGGGAGGTAGTTGCCAAGGTTCTGTGTGATACCATACCCAAGATTTCTTCCTCAACAGGTAAATGCATCCAAGCCCTGCAAAACATTGCAAAGAATGTTCATGCCATCAAGCTAGCCAGAGTCAAACCTCGCCTAGTAGCCAATGCCAGGCGCCTCATGAGAGCTCAGAGAGTCTCAGTTCGAAGTAGCAGGCAGGTGCAGAAAGCTTTTGGAGGCACTGCTCTTGGAATGACCAAAGGAGCCCGGATCATGGGTGCGGCCACCGCAGGTCTCTTCCTTGCAATGGATGTGGTCAACCTTGTGAAAGACTCAGAGCACTTGCAAAAGGGGGCAAAGGCCAAGTCAGCTGACGAGATGAGGCAGCAGGCCCAGGAGCTGGAGAAGAACTTGGAGGAGCTCACCAAGATCTATGAAATTCTGAAGGAGGGCCCGAATCCATGATCCCCGAGCAGGGCAGGGAGCAGGGACGTGTGT